GCGTGCTTCCCTCTTGGGTAGCGGCAACTCCGTTATTACCCGATTTCTATTCTCCTCCGATCCCGTATCGGGGAGGGGGCCTGGAGAGGTATCCATTTGTCCCAAGCCCGTTTCTTGTGGGATGTTCTCCCTACTCGGGCCTGGTCTTGCGTTCATTCCACAGTTGATTTCCTCGATTTGGAGTTTTAGCCTTTCATTCTTTTCCTTGAGGCCATTTATCTCCGACTGCATCTCAATGAATCTAGCCCTTAAAAACCCGATGTCTCCCTCCTGCGATGCCCTAGTCGCCAGCTTCTTAATGATTTCCGTCGCGGAACCCATGTTAAGCTTCATTTTACTCGTAAAAGAGCCCTTTATATTAGTGGACTTCCTACGGCATTCTTCCGCTTCCCCGAGCCACTCCGAGGCAAGGGCCGCCATTTCCGACGAAGTGAGGGAGTCGATGTTTTCCATTCTTCTATCCAGCTCCTTTCTTTGGGCATCCGAATAGATTACTTGTGAGGTTTCCACCTGATCGGGTGTCTCCGGTGACTCAAAGGCCTTCTTTCTTTTATGTCCCTTTTTTATAGGAGGCGGCCTGATTCTCCCGGACGAGTCCGAAGAGGCAGACCGCATCTCACTGCCCACACCAGCCTCCACTGAAACGATCTCCAGGTCCCCGTCGACGGGTGTTCCTGGCCTGGATCGTTCGTCCGACTGGTAAGTAAATACGTATTCCACGTCCCCCGCCGTATGTCTCCTTGTCCTTCGTGTCCCCACGGGGGTTACTGACAATGCCTCCTCGAATCTCTCGGGCGTTGAGGGCGGAGAGAAAAAATCACTCGCCACACCTGCCCTTTCTCCAGATTTATACTTATCGATATCCACCTTTTCAATGCTGACGATCGCAGCTTTGAGCGAGGGCCTCGTCTTAGCCCCCGCCCCACTCCCAGCGCTTGTTGTCGACACGGGGGGAGAGGGACAAGACTCCCCCGCGCGCCGTTCCCCAGGGCTCCGAATCCCTGGGGGGGTTTTTTCCTTTTGGGTCGACATTCCATATTTTTTGTGGTTCATTGTTGATGGTAACTCTCCTGGGTCTCCCTCCGACAGAAAAAGCGTTGTACGCCTTCCCAAGACGCAGCACTGTTGGGGGTAACACCAGGTCAACGATTACTTCGTTACCGCACTTCTTCGTTTCTGAGTACTTGTGTCTGGATTAGGAGTATCACTCCTCTCGATTCAACAGACAAGTCCCGCACTTTTGACTAAGCTACACCCTATCCAAGAGCACGCACACTTGCTCTGGGGAAACTAAAAACTTAGAACTTACAGCTACTAAGAACACCTTAGCCATTAACGCTTTTAACAATTTAGCTTAGTTACTAATCGCTTGAACGCACCAATAATAACGATGAATAACAACAAGTATCAACGATCTTAATTATAAAGTCAAAAGAAAAAAGAAAAACACTAATTGTATACTCTAAACCTACGAACTAATAATGATGATAACGCTAATCCGAATCAAAACAACAATAATATTGAATAAAAAGAAAAAGAAACCCCCAATTTCCGTCACCAAGAAAGAACTCAACGCGCAACGCAATTACGTTTCCAATTTCTAGGTTAATTTTAATTTCAGTCAAAGCCGCAAAGGATTTTTCCGCGGGTAAGTATAATATCCTAGGTATCCTCCTCAATTCTTTACATGTTACCGTGCTTCAACTCGTTACTAATAGAATAACCCTCTATAGTATTTCCAATTTCGTGGTTTGATGGAAACTCGGCTTAACACACACGGCCCGCCCTCTCATGTACGCATTGTTCGTGCCCGAATCCCGAACAACAATCCAGTCAATGCGAATCTAATCTGATTATCATATACCCCGCGCCTGTCACTTTACACAAGCACGGCGCTTTAATATCGTGTTAAATTATGTGCCGCAGTGTAGTGCCCGTACCTGTTTTCGGCGTCGGCTACTCCCGCGTTGCCGCGGCCAGGCGAGTCAGGAACTTACTTGTACTCGCCCTCCACGGATTTACAGCTGTCTCTCGGCGAGTCTTACGTACTAAGACGATACACAGGGCGAAGAGGAGGAAAAGACAAGATATCCAGGGAATCGCACCCCAGCCTCTTTTACGGGCCTTAGGTACGCACGTTATTCGCCAAAAGTCCGTATTTTCCTATCGCAGTATATCGGCAATCAATTTCCTCGCGTACGGGCCTGGCACCAAGGGCGCCCTAACCTCACCTGTCAAAGGTGGTCACGTTCGCGGGCAGTCTAATCCTGGTATACATTGGTTCTCTACGGAGCCTAATTAACGCGGCTATCACTTTATCTTCTGATTATTCTTATTACTTTCGTATCAAAGCTTTAAAAGTACTGGCTACACTTTCCTATCATTAGCTATATATACATATATGATATGTGACATCCTATGCAATTGCTATCAGCTATCATTCTGTGATTCTCACAGGTACCTCTGCCACATGAATATCCTCGTAGTATTACAGCTCAACTAATGTCTCTAATGCTATTTCAGGTCAGACACGCAGTGCGCATCAATGCAGCGGCAGCGCACACCACTCCGCAGTGCGACGCTGTACCCCAGATTGGTTAACAGGTAATACTACACTAATATCTACTTTCTTATAACATTCTTAAGTTATGCCCTTCCTATTTATTTCAAATAATAGATAATATCTCTGATGTCCTTTCAGATCATGCCATGCAGTACGCACCACCGCAGTGACAGCACATGCATTCCCACAATGTAATACCATTCATATCTCCGCAGCTAGTTGAAGGTAAAGTATAAAATATTCTATTTTATTACGTATTCTATTTATGTATTCTCACTCGTGCAGCAAGTCACCCCCAATTCTGTCCATCACGGCAAGTAATAATTAGTATCTATAACGTTATTTTCAGATCACTCACTGTGCACCGGCGCAGCAACTGCATATGAATCCCCGCATGTGACACTGTATCCCTGCAGTGAGTACCAGCGCGGTGCCAACATATGCATTCCCACGATGCGATATTATGTCCCTGCAGTAAGTTACAGGTAAGAATATTCTTTTATCTATTCTACTTTATTTGAGCATCCTCAGATCGTGCTAACGAGTCGTCCCTCAGTTTAATCTATCATGAACGAATATTAATCAGTGCCTCCAATATTATTTTCAGGTTATGGAGTGTGCACAGTAGCAGTGACAGTCCATGCACCCCCGCCAGGCGCGGCAGCAGCACATATCCCCCGCAATGCAACAGAGTGCTCCTGCAGCTATTCAGCGGATAGCACCGTCCTATTATTTATTCTGCTAAGTATTCTTTCTCAATCCTATGTGTCTTATATTTAGTACCTATTTATAATCAATGTCTCTATTATTGTTTTCAGCCCTTGCAGCACGTACCGGCGCACCGCCAGTATATATATTCCCGCAATGTAATATTCTACAGTTAATTACAGGTAAGAATTATCTATTCTATTAAGCCTATCAATACTTAATGTCTTTAATGTTATTTTCCAGATTGTGCAGTGCGTGCAGGCGAAGCAGCAGCACATGTGTCCCCGCAGTGTAACAATATACCCCACTAACAGCAACAGGAGCCACTGTTCTATTACCTCACATATTATCTCATATCGTTAAGTTAAGCTACAATATGTTTCTTATATCAGATATGAACAATAAACGTCCAGGCTTTAATTAAAATGTCAAAGTTTAACTAGTCCTTTTCTTATATGCTACAAAACGTGTCGCTCCCAAGTGCCGTCACAGGCAACAGATCCTGCAGTCTCTCTACCGTATGGAAATATATTACATCCATGAGTTGTGCATTCTCCGGGGCATCAGACTCATGATTCACGGCAGCAGGGCCTTGCGAACAGTTCGCCCACACATATATATATGTTTATATGTTTACAGCAACAGGATCCGGATGCAGCACAGGGCCGCCGCTGTATGACTCACAAAAGTTCACACTACAATGGACATACACAATCAGAGCGAGTATGTACACGCTCCGCGTTGCTCCATCCCAGCAGCTCCGTCCAGCAGTTGACAGGCCCCTCTCGTCACACGCCGCATGTACGGCTGACACCGTACGTCAATTCCCGCTTGCAATACTCAATCTCACGCGAGTCGGGTATCTCACTGTCATATTATTATTGACTGCTTATTGAGTATAGACCGAACTCAAAATCTCGAACTGAAGTTAATCTTTTTACGTATCGATTCCTGGCACGGAATCCAGTTCTCGTGTACACATTTATACACGCATGTCAAAGCGAGATCAAAAACCGTTCTCTAATCGTCCCGACAAGGCGAGGGGGCTCACACAGCGTGAGTATCGCCCCCGTGTGCAACGACACAACAAATCCCACCTGGTTCCACCGCCCGAAGCAGCGACAATCTCCGCGTATCGTCCTCTAATCCTCCGGCGGATGCACAATGGGGGGGGCTGTCAGAAAACGAGGCCAGACGCCGGCCGACGACAGATAAGAGAGACGGATCCCAGTGCCCTCCTCCCAGCTAAATAAGTAGCCGGTGGAGACAGCGGACCCCTGACGCCGGGAGGGCGCCCCGCAGAGCGGCGAACCGTCTCCGACAGGCGGAGGGGAAGCCAAACACAAGTCCACCAACAGCACCCGGGCACCACCAGGAGAATACAATCCTCACCAGGCACTGTCAAAGCACATCAAGGCGTGCAATCAAGCACCCATTCATGCATAGCCTCATCAGTTCGCGGCCACAGCCGCCATCTTGTGCACGGTGACACCGGCGGGCGGGCAGCGCCGCCACTCGTTCACTTTTATGCACCACCGGGCATGCAGCGCCCTTGCACACCTCCACCTGTGCAGTGCCACACCCCCGCACTGACCACTGCCCAGCGTGACGCAATACGCGCCGCCGCGATCGCCCACCAAGCACGTGGCGCGGCTGCCACAGAGTATACGGAGCAGAGATCGCGCACCACACAAGGGGCTTGTTCACATGAACCCGCGCAGGGAGGCATGTACACGAACAGACGCCCGTGCACAGGGCACACTCCCCATGCAGTTTAACTGCTTTTAAAGTAACGATTCACGAATTTCAGCCCGGAAAAACCAACTCACTCCAAAATTAAGCGTTTCCGCACTGTAACTCACATATCCGCCGTATATCCCGAAGGTTCATATACGTTGCGAGCGAGTACCCGCGCTTTTCGGAGCACGCGTCACTTATATAACGCACTGCTCAACCCGCACATAGGTTTCGCGGTTATTTCGGAGTAAGTCCGGAATGTTACCAGCCACACTATTAAGCCTTTGTAAGGCAGCGCGCACAAGTGAACAATGTGCCCAGAACTCGAGAAGAATTCCCGAGGAGAAGACACCTGTCTACACTCTCACGGCTCGCACACGGCAGAGATGATAGCCATCTTGAGCCGTAGCCACGAGCCACGTTTCACGGCACTGAGAAATCACTTATTTCTCCGAGAATACTAAACTCCCACACTCGAAACTACACTGATCGATGTAAAATCGCGAGCCGCACACTATAGACGCGCTTTCAAGACGCTAACCGCGTTTATTCCGCACGGTCGCGTATGGAGACGACGGAGCGACACGTAGACACGTCCGTACACCTCGACACACGCGAGAGAACCAACCTAACCTAACCTAACTTTGCAACCGTTGGCTTTCCAGCCA